TGATGATGATTTTCTCCTAGTAAGTATCGGGTTCCGGTTTGTGTTGGTGTACATCAGAGGTATATCATTTTCCAGTTCACAAAGGAGATTTGTCATCGACCATGACTACCCCCCACCTAGAAAAAATAAGGCAATGCTTCTTGTTACTAGTTAATAAAAGTAAAATATACCAGCTATAGCCACATTCTTCTTCCAAATAATATAACCAAAAGATACTTAAAAATAATCCCACACAGAAATCATTGAGATCTTGGTATAAACGAACTTTTACAAAAAAATTCTCTAACCCCAAATTACTTACTCCTGCGATGACTTGATTTGTCTTACCTGCGGTCCAGACACCGCCAAAACTTTTGATCCCCTATGTTCAATCACTTCCCAAGTCCTTGGTTGGTAATCCGCTCCTAATATACAAAACTTTATAACGAAACACACACATCCTTATGTGCACATATAACATCAGTAACCGTGAGCTCAAAACCTAGAAAGAAGACTTTATTGTAAATTTCCTCAATAAACTATGATCACTTAAAGCATCTGTGTTCGCCATCCTACTCTACGGTTCAGCCAAACCTGTCGCCCCCCTTACATTAAACATTTTAAAGCGGTAGATTTCAGCTTCACCCGTATCCATAGCTCCTGTTCATTTCATATCACAATATATCGTTATATGCGTAAAAATCATACACTATTGGGGAGGGCGTCTTGTTACTATAAAAATCAAAACAAATAAGTATATAAAGAAGATGAGTACATAATTACCTTTTTCATCCTTATATCTTTGTGTTTCCAAAAAAAAGACTCTGTATAAAGGTAAACCGTTTATAAGTCAATCTACAACTTTCTTTATACATCACCATAGATGTGAGCACTGTTGCCAGCATTTTTGAGCTTTGCTGATTGGCCTTACTTTAACGTTTCTGCGTAAAATCAGACCAATATATGCATGTATATCATATAGTGTACAAAACTGTAATAGAACTATTTCATATCAACTGAGGTCGTAGGTCTCTATTTGTAGATATCAATCTTCTTCATGTTTTTGCCAGTTGATTTGTTAGTATCCCTCCTAGGTTTATCAGGTGCTAGTGCCATTTGTTACCTTGTTGCCCCATGCTAGCGTGGGCAGCCTTGAACCTTCATGTTCTGTGGTCCTAGACAAACCCATTCAAGCGTTGGTTCTGCTAGTAGGTTCTGACACAAAAAAAACTCCTAACAGTATAACCTATATTCCGTCAGATATAGTCCTATTCCATGCTCCAACATTCATATTGTGTTTCACTACAATCAATGCATTACTTAAACATCCTCAGTTTTCACAAATAATTTCATATGCGCCTAAAATTCCCCAAACATCAATTTGATTCAGTTTATCTTGAATTTAATTATCAACTGGTTATGTACCATTGTCGCAACAGGACTCAGTTTAACATTGGAACCGTGCCTGATGTGTGTTTTCTACACTCCAATCCTACTTCACGCTTTTTTGTTGTCCCTATAACTATCTTCCCCAACTTGCCTATACCCACACTAAATCACCTCCTTATCTCTCATGCAAGTTCAGGAGGTACTATCGTACACTCTGACTCCCCCCCCACCACCCGGAAATGATCAAGGGAAAAAGTGAGAAGTATGAAATGGATGAAATGTTCTATGTTGATGAGTATATACTGTTAGATTAGATTCCTTTTTCATACGTGCTGTCTTACATGTCGCTACAAACTACCATGTTACGATATGTCTTCGCGTTACTCTTTTCTTTCGATGTGAGACGTGACAATGACTATATATACTGTGTAACTGCATCTATTCTGTCGTGAGAGAAAGAAACAGAGTATACCAGTGGAACTTGAGAGTAACGTAGAAGAATCGTCCAGAGTTTGGGCACACCACGATCCGTCTCGGTCTGCTATATCTTGACAATACCTTTTTTCCATTCATTGAGAATGAATAATTGCAATTTGTAGCCATTTTCAATGCAATGAACGCCCTATATTTTTTTAAGGTGGCTGGTCCTGGACTGGTTCTGGTTCTGCTAGATTTTCCACCAGAGAAGAGCCCGCTATGGTTACCATAGCAACACACCATTTACTTGCCAACAGTTAGCATTTAGCCTTTCTCAACAAGACTGCTGCTGTATGTCAAGCTATATTCACCAGTATTTTATAAAAAGTGGGTTAAAGGTAAAAATTTATATATATTGGTAAAAAAATCACAAATTATACACTTCTATATCTGGTGAAAATTAAACCTTGTTGGGGGATTTCTCATAAGTCCATTGTGATGAATATAATAAGTCTATAATGACGGTTTGGGGAGTCCTCCTGTCAATAAAGGCAATTCAGATGAGATTAACTTATTTGGGGAAATTCCATGAGCCATATCCACATATATAGTGCACTGATGTGAGAGATATGTAAGAGATAGCCATGCAGAACCATCCCCCACATGAAATACAACCAAAGATAACTGATTCTGTGGCCATGGATCTGAAACCCTCCCATAGTTTGTCCCACACAGAGTCCACTCCACACGCGCCTTCTCCCAGCGGAGCGCGCCATGCAGGGCGGAGGGGGCGGGGTCAGTGGTGGGTGTGTGCCTCTCAGCTGATGCGCGTATCGGCCGCCTCCATCAACAGCATCCACCGCGGGCTGACAGCGGTCGAACGCAGCATCCCTATCCTAATATTAGCGCCCCACGGACCGCGGTGCGTCACGTCCACGATACAGTCATAGCGAGGACACAGCCAGGCGTGTTGTGCTGGCTGCCATCTTACCAAGCGCCCAGCTGCAAAAACAGTGAGTACTCTTTGATGATGCACAGCGGAGATGCTACAATCCGTATATCAAAGCCGCTGCACGAGACGACGTCAATGACGCAGGGTTAGATGTTATCGCTGTTTTTCTTTTTTTTTTTCTTTTCTTTTCTTGCTCAAGCTCTTGTTGCGGGTGCGCTGTTTTTAGTCCTGGGCCTAGAGCCAGGAGGAGGTGGTGCTGATGCAGGAGCCGCTAAAGCCGCCCTTGCCGACCGGGATGCAGAGAAAAGGGACAGAGGTAGTCGTGAGGGGAGGGGACTGAGGCACACCAGCACATACAAACTGGAGCACTGCATTTTACTACTACTGCGACCCCTTTGCAACGTTCCCGTATATAGGTGGGATGGGTAGATAGCTGGAGCACCTGCCATAGCACGACTGCATTCGCGTTTAGCCTATGGATGCTGGGATGTGATTGCTCTTATGACAAGCAGCGTCTTTATCCATAAACGTACATATTCAGTGGTTTCACAAATCTGCATACAGCGAGGTTGCTAAGAAGGCAGGCGAGGGAAATTGTGTGCATTGCGCATTATAATATTTGATCCATTTAAATGTGGACGTTCTGTGGTATCATTTTTGGCATTACTGATTTAACAGCCTGACTTTAACCTAGGGCCTAAAGAATCTGCTTTTCCAAAAGAGGCCTATGCAGTGCTCACTGTGGGCTATGTTTAGCTTATACATTTGTCAACACAGGTTTATGTCTCCATGGTTGTCACACACTTGTTGGATGTTTGTTGTGATAGTGAAACGGCCATGTCTGTCCATAATCAATGCAAAGCTACAGGCTCACAACAGGCAATTATAAAGAATAGGTTACTGCATGCAGAATATATGGATGGTGGTGGTTGAAAAGGACTCACATATATGCCATGTTTGCCATTTTTGGAGGACACCCAACATTATTTCACTGGGTATTCAGTATACATGTTTCACTTTTAAGAGAGGTAATGGCTCACATGTGAAAGGTGAAGAAGACATCGTAAATATAGGCATGTTATATTATTAGCCTTTGTCATTGTTTTCTAAGCTACATGTCATACTTTCACAAAACATTCCATTGCATTTTCCTCATATTTTTGAGTTATCATAGTAAGATTGACTATGTATATTGGCCTATAGGACATCCCAAACAGCTGTACTATTTTTGCACTTGAAAAAACGTTTTAGACCTGTAGTAACCACAAATGGTTTACAGATTATTTCCTTTCAAATGTATATCCTATAGTGTTTAACGATCTCCTTCAACATGGATTATAAACAGCCACATAAAAAGAACAATAAAATCCATGTAACTAGTTCTGATATGTAATTTTGTCACATCTTTAGACCAGACATAAACAGCCAATCTGAGCCTAAAGCATCACATAGTGACTTATATATAAATATAACATGTTTTCTAATAAGAAGACAGCATGCTTTGGCCTGATTTGTTCAGGATAATTATTATTTTACAACTGAAGAGTTTATTTCAAAACAGAAATGTTCTCCATTTTGATAAATTGTCAAAAAGTTGTATAGCTGTGGCTATACAATCTTCAACATGATTTGTTAGTGGCTGTACATGTAAGAGAATTTTCTCAAGATGGTGAAAAACCTTCTTGAAGTTTTGTCAGCACTAAAATAGTTCCAAAAACTACTTGGTAATGGGCAAATTGTAAGCTTTTTTTTTTGTTTCTTCAATTGGCACTTATCTGTTTTTGCAAACTGACTGTTCAAGTTCCTATTTCTGTTATTATTTGAGAAAAACAGCATGTATTATCTATGGGAAAAAAAAAATTAGGAATACCCCAGCTGTAAGTATAGTACTTGGGACCCACTTTATACTAGTCTCATTGTGTTTCTGTTTTTGGTTTAATTGCATTGATTCTGAAGTTCAATTTTAGCATCATGTTTCTAGCATGAGAATGATTCCACTTGGAAAAACTAAAATTCAAAATCAAAGTTGCTGACCTTTAGTTTCCTCAGTAGGAGGTTCTGACTGCCCTGGCTGTGGGCGACACTTGTATAACCTACATCCTTATGCAACATTTTTTGTTTAAACTGCTTTCGTTGTTTCTCTGTGTTCCTCCAGTGTGTGTGCCTCCACTGCCTGCATTAGGTTGTAATGCTCCACACCAAATGCATGTGTGACCCACCCCAAACCTGACTCCTTGCCTCTTCCCCCTGACCGTACCCCACTATGGGCAGTGTTGGTAGTGGGGTGGCAGGGGAGCAGGAGTTTGCCATGAAGTCTGTGGGAACGAGGACAACCCTGCCTCGCGCCCCTCCTCTGTCTCGCCGCTGTCCCGCCGACCGAAGCTGCAGCGCCGAGAGACTTCCCCGGCTCCCGGCCAATATCTCTGACGGGACTGTATCGAGCGACGAGCGAGGCAGCGTCAGCGTGGGGACCGCCACCTGCACGGCCACCGATCGCCCCACCGAGACCGCCTCCACCACTAACACTGAAAGCACCATGGCTCCCTCCAACAACAACCAACTGGACTGTGGGCCCAGTCGGAGAGAGTGGCAGCGAGAGAGGGGTAGGGACAGAGACCGGGACAGGGACTGGGATAGGGAAAGACTGGAGCGCGAAAGAGAAAGGGAGAGAAACCGCGAACGAGAAAGAGAACGTGTTGAGAGGGAACGACTGGAACGGGAGCGAGAAAGGGAGCGAGAAAGAGCCAGGGAGAGGGAGAGAGAACGAATCGAGAGGGAAAAGATTGAGAGAGAGAGAGAGCGAGAAAGGGAGAGAGAGAGGGAGAGGGAGAGAGAGAGGTTGGAGAATGAAAGGATGGAGAGAGAGAGGGAACGAGAGATGCAAGCAGCAGCGGCGGCGGCTCTAGATGTTTGTGGGAACATAGTGGGAAGAGGGCCCCCGGAGAAGAGCGCGGTGATGATGAGCCAGCACCAGCACAGGGAGATGGCCTCAGCGCGTAACGACGGTGACATCAACCCCGCTGGCGGACACAACCCGCCCAAGATCATGCCCGTGTCCGGAAAGCTAGAGCAGGTACAGGTACAGCAACTTTCAATACTTCTTCAAGGGGCAGGTGGGCAGGTGGGCAGGTGGGCAGGTGGGCAGGGCAAGAGCTGGAGTCAAATGTGTACTAGGATGGTCTCGATAAATTCTCCATGGTCAAAAACACACAAACAAAATGGAAACACACACAGACAAACTGAGATCAGATTTTCTTTTATCAAATCAATCATGACATCACTCTGCTCGTTATTTTTGTACACAGTTTGTATTCAGCTTTATTCATGCTCAAAACATGATTTTATGCCATTATCACTTGCCATTGTAAACACAGGGTAGTAGATATTGGTACTATTTGGCTTTGGAATTTATAAATACAATGTTTTCTGTCTCTATTGGCGTCACCTGCATGTGAAAGCTTGATCTCGTCAGATTTCAGAAGCAAAACAGAACTGTAAAGTGCCAAACTTTGCCAAACGTTGCTGTGTCCTACACCTACATTGCTTAGTATGAACCTGATGGGTGTGTGTGTTTTTGTACTGTATGTGTGTGTGTGTGTGTGTGTGTGTGTGTGTGTGTGTAGGATTGGTCGGGGTCGGAGGGGCCGATGACACAAATTAGCTGCTTTCCACTAATGTTTATGGGGTGAATGAATGCTTCCATGTGAATCGACGTTGAGTGTTCAAAAGGCGCTTCATAAAACCAATCATAATCATTATTAATAGAGTCCCAGGGTGTTCTTATGGATTGACTCAATGATCTATAACTTTCAAAAAGTCATCTAATCTTTTTTTCAAACAGGCAATGCAGAGCAACGCGGGCTTGGTGCGGCCGTCTGCCTTCAAACCCGTGGTTCCTAAAAGTTTCCACTCGATGCAGAATCTGGTGGCTCAGGCTGGAGGAACATCTGAGGGGAAGTGTGAGACCAGAGGAGAAGGCTACAGCGAGAGCCGGAGCAGGAGAGCCAGAGACGCAGAGGCTGGAGAGGTCCCCGAGGCCCTGCTGCTGGACCAGGACAGTCCTGTAAGAGTCGCCCGGGGGGAGGGAGTGGGCAATAACAATGAAGTGGTCCAAGGAGGCATGTCCGACTCTGGGAGGAACTCTCTGACCAGTCTGCCCACCTACGCTGGCTCAGGCCACGGACACCCTGCCGTGTTGGGGCCGCTGAGTGCTTCTACCAGTCATATCAACAGGCTGGGCATGGTGGGGGCAGCCGCGGGCCTCGATAAGATGGACAAGCCAGGATACCAGGTGAGTACCAGCGGGGTACCACTAACCACAGACTTCAAGATCCAGAGGCCTCCTGAGCGATGATGCAATGCAATTATAGTTGGTCAAATGTACATTGTTTATTTTTTCCAGTAACAGCCAACAAGCATAGCAATGGTTAAGGCTGGGGTACCTAAACATTTTTGTTTCACAGGCTGAAAACAATCCAGGCACTCCTAAACAAATTATGAGCTACAAGGAAGTCTTAATTAAAGGGTATATATTTACTATACTAAAGCTACTCTTACCAATACATTTTGTCTGTCCAAAAAAAAAGATTGTAAAGTAGACATGGTGCCATTATCCTATCAGAAAAAACATGTTATATGTTGTGTACTAGCAAGCCTGACAGTATGAAATGTATATATGGATTTTATGGTTAGTTCACAAATATAATTTCGGTTTGTGATATCATATGATGTGAGAGGATGTGGTGTGGTTCTAATGTACAGGGATGATTCTGTATGTGTTTCCTAAAGTTGCTGTGCACTGATCCTTTCAAATAAATACTGCACCACTAATGCTGAGAGCTGATTGGTTGAGTGAGGATGGTCCTCCCTCTTCACTTTTCTGTCTAAAAAATCTGATCTTGTGATCTGAAAACTGGTGATAGAACCAAACAAGGAGCAAGTTAGATGGATTAGATGGATAATTTCATGATTCTATTATTTGTGGTTTGAAAGTTAGGAACCCCAGCTTTAAAGTGATTTGATTAAAAAGGTCTCAAACTGCTGATTTATACGTTGTGGCTTGACTGGTCTGTTTGCGTAGATTGCGTGGCCCTGTCACATTCTCAACACCTTTGACTTGTGAGAGTCTTGTACCTGTGATATTAATACTAGTGTCTGTTCTAGAATGGACTTAGTGCCTCGGATAGTGGTCGCTCCTCTTCAGGGAAAAGTTCCTCGTCCTATCAGCGGCTGAGTCACCTGACCGATGCTCCGGCTCCGCTCCGCCCCTCGCCCTCCTCCGATGACATCATACAAGACCTGGAGGACCGTCTGTGGGAAAAAGAGCAAGAGGTCAGAAACACATCACTTTAGCATTTTACACAATAACTTATAATTTAGCTCTCATTATCTTCACAGCAATATTTGTTTAATCTGATCTGATTTTTGGTGACTGAGGCCACAAATACATGTCTGTGAAAACTAGTGATGTTTTTTTTTGTCTTTGTCCGCTATAAATATAAAGAGGGCAAGTTGTAGGTCTTGTGTTCATAATTCAGTGCATTTATGTCGCTAACTGTGTTCAGTGATATGCTCTTACCCCTGTGGTATTTGTTTTTTTTTTTCCTGTTACCTGATCTATGTGCATGTGTATTATTTAAATATGGTTCCATAAATATATGCATATTATAATAATTATATTTATATGAATTTGGGTTCATTTTTGTCTGTTGTATTGAAAAGCATCTACTGTTATTTCTTAATTAATTATCGTTTGACACTGTGGTGGGTTATGATAAGTTTGACTTCTTCCCACTCAATTTGGATTTCTATTATTGTCTCAACAGTATAAAACTGTATTATGTATATTGTTGTGAATGAATGAATGTTTTGTTCTTAAAATGACATCTGTAATTAAAATTCAAATTAGCCTTTACAACGACCAAACTGTCTGGAGATCTAGGAACTAGGCTAATATGTACAGATGTATCCTTTGTTTGAAATGAGGACCTATCTCAGAGGACCTTTGTAAAGTCCTCTGAGATAACTACTGTTGTGATTAAGGGCTATACAAAAATAAAATTAATGGAATTGAATTGAATTTATTATATAGTACATATAACAAAATAATAACAAAAGAAAACAAAAGAAATAAAAGTCAAAGCAATATGTTCCAAAGCACATTTTGTTTAAGTTAATGTCCCTGTATATAATGAATCCAAAAATACATGTGTGATTTCCGTGTAATAACTCCACCAGGTGCAGCACATGCGTCGGAACTTGGACCAGAGCGAGGCGGCCATTATTCAGGTGTTTGAGGAGAAGCAGCGCGTGTGGGAGCGGCAGATGGACGAGCTGAGGCAGAACTATGCATCCCGGCTGCAGCAGGTCAGTTTGTCATCTTCTGTCCTCAAAGCCACACTCACGACCAGTAACAACGTTAAAACAGAACAACACAGAACAACACACAATTACCAAACAGGAAAACATCCGAGGCACTCTGATTTAACTTAAAAATCCTTCATTATGGATGGGACATGTCATAGATCACAGGTGGTAATTATGAGTACGATAGATCACATGACTGATGGAAAAATTCTAGTAAAAACGCTAAGTAAAAAATGCTAGTTTGTAAAAGCTTGACATTGGAGAAAAAAATGACTAGGATATGTACATATATGTGACGGCTAAAGCTTATTTTCATTTTAGAATATTCAATAAATTGTATCAATCAATCAGTCAATCAACTTTTATTTGTAGAGCGCCTTTCCTACACAAGGCAACACAAAGCGCCTCACAACCCACATCACATCAAGTATAAATCATAATCATTAAAATCTACATACACAATAAAAAATACAATTCAAAACAAACATAAAAATCACTCACAGGTTTAAAATCATAAATAACCACATTATGCTTTGTGCATTAAAAAGTGTTAATATAAAATCCTTCAGTTGTAGAGATGAAATCCTTCAGTTCAGTTGTACAGCTAAACAGAACTGTTTTTAATTAGTAGACGCCTGTCTCACATTTACAGGAAGATTGATCCAGATATTAGCTGCATAAATCTGAAACGCTGCCTCCCCATGTTATTCTAAAACAATATATTAAAATGATGCAGTTCAGACATACCATTTATTTTTGCTGATATATTGTTGCGAGTTGCCTGGTTAATATTTTCATGTTGTACATTGTGCAGGTGACGCGGCGAGCACAGCGCTCTCAGACTGCTCTTCAGGCGCAGATTGGCAGACTATCCCAGGACAAGAGGCGTCTGCAGGAGGAGATGGCTGCTCTGCTCGCCCAGAGAGAAGAGCTGGAGAGAAAGTGTCTGGACTACAGGAAAGAACAAGCTGACATCTTGCCTCGACTTGAGGAGACCAAGTGGGAGGTACATGGCTGGCTACTTTTGATTTACATTTTTAGAATCAGAATCAGAAACAACATCAGAATAATTTGTATCCCCAAGACACATGTGGTCACAAACTAGACATTTTCTTTGGTATATGGCACAAAGAATATAAAAAAGTCAGACTGTACAACAAACAATGAGGAGTAACAAACACTGCCGACCTAACCTCATATGTCATGCGTCATTGCAATATCTCAAACTAATGTCATAATGTGCAATACAGAACCACATGTGTCCACTGCTGCTCTACTTGGAGATTGGAAACTGTGTCTCAGATCATATGGCCCTGACCTGTGGAGTACCACAGGGGTCGAGCCTGGGACCTCTTCTGTTCAATCTCTACATGCTGCCGTTAGGTCAGTTAATACGCAGAAACGAAGTTTCCTATCATAACTATGCAGACGACACTCAGATCTATGTCTCACTGACTGCAGGAGAACATGGACCAGTGGACTCACTCCTTCACTGTATCCAACAGATCAGTGAGTGGATGCAAAACAACTTCCTTCAGCTAAACGCAGACAAAACTGAAATGATTGTCTTTGGTCCCCAGAAACAAAGAGAGAGCGTCATCTGTCACCTACAGTCTCTCTCCCTAAAACCTTCAAACAAGGTCAGAAATCTAGGGGTAATACTGGACTCAGACTTAAATTTTAATAGCCACATAAAATCAGTAACATCAGCAGCTGTTTACCATCTAAAAAACATTGCCAGGATCAAAAACATAGTGTCTAAAGCAGACTTGGAGATTCTTATCCATGCATTTGTCTCCAGTAGGTTAGACCAGTGTTTTTCAACCACTGTGCCGCGGCACACTAGTGTGCCGTATGATATTGTCTGGTGTGCCGTGAGAAATTCGTCTACTTTGTCTAAAAATAGCTGCATTCGCTGTTGACGAGCGGTGACTTGTTTTGAACTGTGGAGTAACCATGTAATACTTTTTCAAATCAGTAGATGGCAGCAGATAGCTAAGTACTTTGAAACTGAAAAATTGGATGCGACCACTGGCTGTAACAGGTCAGCATTGTGGCGAGAAAGGTAAAATTGGATGCGACCAACAAATGTGGGAGGGAGCGAGACAAGAGCTTTGTGGCGAGTGAGAAGTGAAAGTGATAGAGACGTTTTTGAAAATGAATTATGCCGTTTCTGAACAGGATTAACATCCTCCGCTCTGCCCCGGGGCAGCTGTGGCCGCGTTGTAGTGGTTTAACTATGAAATGTACAATTTTTGTACAACAGCTCTCGCGAACGCACTTCTGAACTGGGTACCGAGCGCAGACCATAGTCGAGTGGACAGAACCACAGACATGCGGACCGGACAGAACCATGGACTCGCGTTCAGGACCTCCCGTGTCCCTCATCCAAAACTCCTGAAGCTCGGATACCAAAATTTTTCCCATGCACTAACAATGCATGTTCTTTGTGTGAGTTATTATTTGACTATTTGGGCAGAGAGTGGATTTTCTTAGTTTTTTTCCACACAGTTAGTGCCACTTTATTCCCAAACTCTTGTTAATTGTATCGAGAAATATTAAATAAAGCTTAATGTCAAGGCCTGGACTTAAGCATTTTGATGAGAATAACTGTATATTGTGAATATAGGCTACAGAGTATACTGTATACATTATAAGATAAGATATACTTTATATATCACACAGAGTATGTACAGTATATATTTTTTTACATTAGTACTGTATACATTTTCACATGTGTGCCGCAAGATTTTTTCAGTGAAAAAAGTGTGCCTTGGCTCAAAAAAGGTTGAAAAACACTGGGTTAGACTACTGCAATGGCCTGCTCACAGGTCTGTCCAAACAGGCTGTAAAACAGCTGCAGTACATTAAAAACACAGCAGCTCGAGTCCTGACTAGAACCAGGAAGTACGACCATATTAGTCCAGTTCTCAGGTCTCTGCACTGGCTTCCTGTGGCTCAGAGAATAGACTTTAAAACAGCTCTGCTTGTGTACAAGTCTCTCCATGGCCTCGCACCAAAATATATTAGTGACATGTTAGTCCCATATGAACCAGCCCGGACTCTGAGGAGCACAGGGACTGGACTCCTGTTAGTGCCCAGAGTCAGAACTAAACATGGGGGGGCTGCTTTTCAGATTCATGCTGCTAAAATCTGGAACAGTCTTCCTGAAGATGTGAGACAGGCCTCCTCTCTGACAATGTTTAAAACCAGGTTAAAAACAGTTCTGTTTAGCTGTGCATACAACTGAGGGATTTTATATTTTTATCTTTCTTTTTAATGTTCTGTGATTATTTATGATTTTAATGCTTTCTTGTTTTGTTCAGCACTTTGAATTGCCTTGTGTATGAATTGTGCTATATAAATAAACTTGCCTTGCCTTGCCTTGCCTTACTTAGTCAGTGTGTCCCAGACCCTCATGCTGAAACATGTACAGATGTAAACACACAAATATTGCTCTCACTAGAATATACAGTACTTTATACTTGCTTCTTATTATTCCAAAAAGTTGAGATTTATACTTCATTATAATGCTAATGGTATGATATGCTATGATATGATAGATTATGACTTGTTTTTTTAATGCTAGAGTCATAGATTTAATTTAATTTGATTTAGTATAGAGTTATTGTTAATTTATCTTGTGCTGTCTGCTTCTCATTCCTACTGTTCTAAAACCGGTGTTGCAACACTGAAATTTCACCACTGTGAGACAAATAAAGGATCTCTTAATCTTAATCTTAAAAGTATGCATACAAATCTTTATAAAATACACATGATAAATATTTAATGGTGCATATTATCAATGAGAGTTTTTGTTTAATAGAGAACACAAAATGACAACAAAAATAGAACTCACTAGGAGGAAAACCAAAGTGCAGCTAAATGTATTCAAACAAGTATGTTATTTAATGCCTGCCCCACCTATACTCGCTAACATAATAATCTTGTAATCATCTATTTGTCTGAAACAGCACTGAAACCACAGTTGTCTGCAGTTGTAGTCAGTACATGAGCGGGCTTGCATCACCACACAATAGTACCTGCTTCATTCTGTGGAAATGTTTTTCTCTTGATTATATTCTTTCACAGCATGACATTAAACGTAGCCACGCACAATCATTATTTTCCCGTTGAATCAGGTTTGACCTCACGAAAGAAACATACTATTACTTTAAAAGGTTGGCACAGTGTTGATTTGCCCTTAATCCAACTGTTGGATCTCTGCATGGACACGTCTTCTCTGCTTTCTCAAAGTGTGCTCTGGGGTGAAGTTCAAAGATAACTTTATCTGACAGTTTTAACAGTGAGCAGAAAACATGTAGTTATTTGAGCAGGGACAATGCTAGTTTGTTAGTTAGAAACATTTTATATTTGATGTGCTTATGTGTTTGTATGAACGGATGTGTTTCTGCTTTTGGAAACCTAAATTTCTCCTACAGGCAATCAATTAAGTGTCTATCTAACTACCAACCTTCGTACCTACCTAACTACCTACCTGCCTATCTATCTATCTATCTACCTACCTACATATCTATCTATCTATCTACCTACCTACATATCTATCTATCTACCTACCTACCTACCTACCTACCTACAGTACCTACCTACCTATCTATCATTTATCTATCATTTATCTATCTATCTATCTATCCATCTATCTATCTATCTATCTATCTATCTATCTATCTATCTACCTACATATCTATCTATGTATCAAATGAGCATAGATCTGTTAAAGTGCCAGTTTTAGCTACAAAGCAATTTTTCAACAATAACTTTCACTTTTCAACCAAGATCCAATCCACTCATCCCCAGCTATGAAATACAGTTTTTCTCAGTCGCTTTGGTGCATTTTTCACATCATTCTTCACATTTGCACAACTGTTGGTGCATTTCTCAGAACAATTAGTTCAAACTGCAAAACCTTGTGGATAATCTGCAAAAGTGCATCACTTTCACAAAATGAAAAGTTAATTCCTCAAAAGCAAGTCTTCATGTCAATGAAACTGTCTGTGTCGTCAAAATAATATGTCCTGACACCATTGATATAAACAACACAGTCAAATGACTTAGTCACGTTTTCATTGTTAAAGTTTACTCTCTCTGTGTTTTCACTGTAAAAAAGTCAGATCTCAGTGACACTTGAGCACGACTATGAGCAAACTATACATTACACACTATAGCCATTTACAGTAAAAACTACAGTAAAGTTACACAAGACTGTATTTAGAGAGGTAACTGACATATTTGTGTGTATGTATGTATCTATGTATGTATGTACTGCATGTATGTATATGTACTGTATGTGTATGTACTGTATGTATATATGTATATGTATTTATGTATGTGTATTGCATGTCTTTCACATATTTTCTGCATATGCTCTTTGCAATTCTACAGCATTGTTCAACAAAAATACAGTCATAAACATGTATATACATAGAACAAACATACAGAATATCATTATGGTAGAACTGTGACAAATGTAAACAATAAACTGTAACACACACCTCCTCATGAGTGAAGCTGAAATTCACCTGAGAGAAGTTGTTCAATTTAGGAAAGATGTACAGGAAAAAAAAAAAAGATAAAAGAATGTATGAAATTAGCTTGACAAATATGGTTTTGAACTAGTTCAACAATTTTGTATGTGATGACCAAAGCGATGAAACGAGGACAGTTAGTTTTATAGGGAAAGACTATTCAAAAGTCATAAGTATGTTATATTTTGACTGACAGGACAGAAGCAAATGATAATGTTAAAAAACAGCAGAGAATTGTATGAAAGTAACTGATACATGAACAAAAGTGTTTGTAAAGTGTTCATAGGAGAAACTGCCACGATGATGTGCACCAATGACCCAATGTTGTGGAGGTTGAACTAATAGTTTTGAGAACTTTAAGTCTGATGTGAGAAATGCACCAAAGCGACTGAGAAAAACTGTAAAACACAATCACACCGTCTCATATTTGTGTCTGTTGTCTGTTTCAGGTGTGCCAGAAAGCAGGTGAGATCTCCCTGTTGAAGCAGCAGCTGCGAGAGAGCCAGGCGGAGGTGACCCAGCGAGCAGGGGAGATGGTGGCTCTCAGGGGCCAGCTGAAGGAGCTCAATGCACAGCTCAGGGAGAGGGAGGAGACCATGCTGGGCCTCAAGGACTCCTACAGCACCAAGAGCCTGGAGCTAGAGAAGTGTGAGAACGAGCTGCGCAGGACTCTTTCCGAGGTATGAGGAGGACGTCATCATCTGGGTTTATATGTTTATAAAAGTCCAAACATTCCACAAACTTGAATTCATTAAAATCACCAACCCACAGAGTACCTGGTAAACAAAGTACAAGTGAATAGTAGGTAAAGTATAAATTGTAACCATCTTGAACTGTAAAAAACATTCTAGATATCTGTAACTTCAATTGTAAGTAGTAAATAAGTAATCTTTATTCATATAGCCTATTTTACAGACCAAGGTCACCAAGGCTCTGTACATTTTGGATTACTGATATGTTTCCATTCTCTCCACACCGATGGTGACGGAAGCGAGACGCGAACACACATACACATCAAAGCTTCAGATCTATCGTACATGTCTTTAGTGGTAGGGGAAACCGAAACACCCAAAGGAAACAGGAACAGACACTGGGAGAACATGCAAACTCTACACAGAAAGACCTGGAGGTGGAATCGAACCCAGGACCTTCTTACTGTAAAAACACAAGCTATAGTATCAACTATTTTTCTCTAAGTATGTTCCACAATACATATATTTGAAACAGCCCCTCCCCTTGGAATAAGCGTCACTAGTAAGATTTGTTAGAATAGTTAGACCAAAGGGAAGTTAGGTAAATATCCTTTACTTTAAAGAAATAAATATACAAAGAACAATTTGGGTGTCTGTCTATATAGTTGGCTGTATTGCTCTTTGTGGGTGGCAGTAGCTCACAAGGTATGACCGGTAAGCAGTCAGATTGACTGACACACAGGTGCAGATGTGAAACAGTTTCCATTGGTGATTACTCTCTGTATGCCCCCAGTGTTTGTGCATGATGGTGTGTGATCGTGAGAGTGATTCCTTGATGAAAAAGTGATTTTTGTTTTGCATTGAAAGTATAAAGTGTTAAGTTTGAAGGTTTGAATGAGAAAAGGAGCTCATAGGTTAAACAATTTTTGAGAACATGTGTATGTTGTATTTCTCAAATATGCGTTTTACAATGTAAAACCTTTAATAATTTGTTTCTAACTGTTTGAAATTAAATGTATGGCTTTATAGATTATAATTAATTCAGAATTGCTATCTCTCAACATTGTGACCAAATAGGCAAGGCAAGTTTATTTGTATAGCACAATTCATACACAAGGAAACTCAAAGTGCTGAACAAAACAAGAACAGATATTCATTCAAGGCATCAAAATGACAAAGAATCACAGTACTTCATAAAGTGTGAAAATTCAACCCTTCAGTTGTATGCACAGCTTAAATGGTTAAACCGGTATTTGAATATTGTCAGAGTAGAAGCCTGGCTTACATTGTCTGTTCTCACATAAATATGTGTTTTATTCAAGCAGCATAAATCTTAGTTGCTGCCTCTCCATGTTTAGTCCTGACTCTGGGTACCAGCAGGAGGCCAGTCCCTGTGCTCCTCAGAGTCTTGGTTGGTTAATATAGCACTCATATGTCACGGATGTGATTTGGCCATGTGATTTTGGTAAAAATAAATCAAGCAGATTAGAAAAAGAATAACATAAACCACCTTATTCTACGGTATATAAACTGAACTGAATTGAACGAAGTGTGCAAGTTTCCAAAATCAGCTTTACTCTCTTCTCTCACAGGTGTCTGTCCTCCGGGAGAAGCTGGGAGTGTTTGAAGCAGAAGTGCTGAGTCTGAAACGGGCTCTGAGTGAAGCCAGTCGTGGTGCAGAGGTGGTCATGAGCCCAAACTTAGCAGCAGCAGGACTGTTACCACCCTGGGGGATAGTACACTGCCCTCGAAACCCAAACGAACCCCCCAACAGCACCCTCACTCCCCCCTCAGACACACTGCTCAGCCTCCAGAGCGACGAGGCTAAAGCCCAGCGGCAGGAGGCCCAGAGGCAGGAGCGGCAGCAGCGAGAAGAAGCACAATGGCGCCAAGACTCCCACATGCCCCAAGCCCAGCTCCGACAAGAGGCCCAGCTACGCCACGAGGCCCAGCTTCGCCAAGAGGCCCAGCTCCGTCACGAGGCCCAAATCAGCCAAGACCTGCAGCTGAGACAGGACGCTCACCAGGCCCATCGCGAGGGCAACTGGGAGGAGGCCGGCGAGCTACGCAGACAGCTCGAACAGCTACAGTCTGCTTTACGTTTGGAGAGACAACAGCGAGAACGCCAGGCCCTCAACTTTGACCAGGAGCGGCACACGTGGCAGGACGAGAAAGAGCGAGTTCTGAAATACCAGGCGCAGCTGCAGCTAAGTTACGTGGAGACTTTGCAGAAGAATCAAGCTCTGGAGAAACGAATGACGCAACTAGGCAGCAAATCTACCACTGCTTCCACGACCACAACCACGACTACAACGGCAACCACCGCGGCGTCCCCGACCTCCTCGAATTCTCCCCCTCCGTCCGTCACAGTGTCGCCCATGTCTCCACAGATGCCGCCTTCTTTGCCCGGGCCCATTTCTCTAACCCTGTCCCCGCCCTGTGAAGATCAGAAAGCCTCTCCCTCCCTCCACCACCTTGCACCCCCCTGGGCAGGACCGTCTCGTCTGGAGAGGATAGAGTCCACCGAAATATAAAGACAATTTCCAAATCCACAGATTACAAGACGCAGACCGTTTGACCTGATTTTATGACATATTAGGCTGAGTATTTAGTAACATAGTATTACAAATAAAGCTGGGGTATCTAACTTTCAAACCGCATATACATTCAATTCATCTAACTAGTTCATGGCTCTCAAAACAGGTTCAATCACTAGTTTATCATATCATTGGATCAGTTCTTTTTAGACAGAAAATAAAATAGTTCTTGCCCAAATAGTCAAATCGTGACTCACAAGGCTCTTTCTTACAGTTGTTCAAAAGATTGAAGACAAATTCTACATATGTATGAAAAGGTTAGCTACCCCAGCTTTAGGTATTCCTGAATAGATTGATCAGCAGAAAATGTGAAATTTATCAAAAAGTAGGTGTTACTGAGAATAGATGCATCAAACTTATCAAGGATTTTTCAACTTCTGCTTTTGATAACTAATTGCACATTCAAGAGAAATCAGTGTTTGTGAATAGGTGCCACACTGGTGGAAAGGGGGAAAAAAACAAAATGTTGAATGACAGTGTTTTTGATAAAAGCAAAAACAGCTACATTTAATACCAATGCTATAAAAGGACCAAGACAATCAGGGATATTGTCAAAATGATCAACAATAATATTATGTGCTATTTATTAATTGTAAGTCTGTGCCACTGGTTATGTACAAAAGTAGAAATAGTGCTCTGAGTGCGTGATGTAAACATTTTTGGCCAGAGAGCGCCTTACACCATTTGTTTCCAGCATGTACATGATAATAACAGGTGCTGGGACTATGTGGGAAAAAAATCAAGGGTGTGAAAATATCATTCATTTTGGTGCTTTTATTGTATATCTGAAACAGGTTATTGCACATGGTTGGGCTTTTTCTGTTAAAGTGCATACGACAGATCAGACCATTTCATACAAAACGACTTAATTTACAGAAGAAACCATAGTTTTCCCAAGTTTGATCTTTTTTTTGTAAAATAAATATGCTGATTTTATTTCCTGGCTGGACATTACCAGACAATGTAAATACAAATTCTAAAATCTCAGCTAATTTACACATGATTTGACAAATAGGAAGATCTGGCATCACTCTAATTTTGTAAAATACATTTGTGAACTTAAAAAATTTGCCCTTTTGCACTTAAATTAGATGTGTCCTTGCATTTTTGATTAACCACAAGGACTATCCCAAAAACCTGTCTTATGCACTTTAAATGTTGTTTGATATTTCTGATCATAAAATGCACAGGTCCGACATGCATGACCCATTGAAATGTAAAACACAAAGACTATATATTTTGTACAAAAAGATTTAAACGTTTCCAAAGAAATGGAAAAAAAAAACTAGAAAAAGGACATAAAAACAAAAACATAATAACTTAGCTTTAGTCGTGCATTGACTTTCATTCTCCAGTAGAGGTCATGAGAGATTTCCACAGTGCCCCAACTAAAGCAAACAGGGAAAAAGTGACCATAAATGGAAGCACACACCATTGATTAATATTAACATTATTTTGTCATTCACGTGGTGCATTTATAGCCAAGAAATGTGAGATAGTAGTCCCCAAAGTTTGAAAGAATTCTATAGAATGTATAATACAGTTGACAGAAATACTTCTAGATTGTAAATGTATATGAGAGTGTGCGAGGGTGTGTGATATAAAGATTTTCAGCTTAAGAGATTGATGATAGAGGGACTAGTGGCAATAGAGCAAGATGTAGTCTTTTTCTAAAGTGATTTAGGGTTGGTGCTAGATAGAAGGCTCTCGAGACTCAAATGTTGCTATACCTTTGTTTTTTAAAGACTATTTTTGACTTGTTTTACACTACATATAAATATTATTTTCAACATCTCAAACAACCAAAACTGTCCTTGGTCGAGTGGAAATGCTTTTGCCTAAAGCTGGGTTACCAATCTTTCAATGAAATAAAATCCATCTGTTTTGGTGCTAATACTAGGATAATCTTTTTTCAGACAGAAAACCATAAGGACCACCATCAGTCAATCAGCTCTCGGCCCAACACATTAAAATAGTGACTCATATGGTTCTTTTGCACAGGTATTTTCTATCATGATGAATGATGAACAAATAAGTTGGTAACCCAGCTTTAAATGTCACACTGTGGATCATTACAAGCAATGCAAACTATGGGGAGAGAAACAGATAAAAAATTTTTAAATGATGAATGATGTCCCTCCTGAGCTATCTAGCACCAATCATATTGGAGGCTTTCAGAACTAACAATTGCAATGACAGTGAGACGAAAGGATGAACACTGAGCCTGCATAATCCTTCTGGAAAACTCTATTCATTCTGTACAGTTCGTTTAAACCAAGGCGGGGAGAGGAACGTTGCTGTTAAATATTATAAGTTGAATGCTGGCCTCTTTAAAAAGGCTATCTGCACTATGTAGTGTCCTACACACAGGTTCGGATGTACAGTAGACTCAGATGTGAATATCATGGCTTTTATATGTGTTGTTTATGCCAGCATACAAAGATGTTGCTCAAAATATTAACTTATCTCTAAAGTATTACATAGTATTATCATCTTTATTATTGTTATTATATTGTAGTGAACTAAAAGAGAAATCTGTGCCATCTGAGCTTTTCTTTATGTGGTTTTTAAACTATGTAGATAGCTTATTGGCCGATCATAATGGTGCAAATCATAGCAACCTTGTCCAAAAATGATGTTGCTTTTTATGTAGTTGGTAATTGTAGTTCAAGTATTGCATTGTTTATAAAAGAAAATGCTACCAATTTTATACATGTTTCAAATTTATTGTTTGCTTTTCTGTTTCAAATACCCTTTTGGCTTGATTAAATCACTTCTTTGTTCTGCAGATCTAATAAAGATGTGAAGAATTCCGCATCGAGTCTGTCTTGTATTAAAGTTGCTGAATGACACTGTGAACTTGTGTTGGTGATCTCAAAAGCTACTTTGCGTTAGGAAGGCTGAGGGCCACATACAATGACAGATAGGACCGCATTTGGCCCGCGGGTCCTGGTTTGAAAATGCTCCTTATAGTATTGGGCTGTACTGGAAATAAATTCATAGCACAAGTGTTTCAAAACAGAGATGCTTCTGTAACTGGTAAAGTCATTTTTTGTATTCATTCATTCGTTCAACCATATATATAAATATTAGCGAATTAAAATTGTCCTTGGTCTGTTTCCGTAGCCAATTGTGACGTCATGTTGTTAGCATCGATGTACTGTTAGCTAGCCGTTTGTTTTGTTTTGCTCCGGGCCAAACTGTATTTTATTTCCACATGTTTCGCCTGAAGTGAGTAGATATATTTATTTGGAAATACTGCTGAAATTGTCTTAAAATCACGAGAATGTTGTGAGTTCAGCTTGAAGTTGACTACCTTAGTAAGTAAATGGACTCTTTCTTAGAAATTAGATGCATACAAACTCATATTTTGCTATATATGTCTTACTAAAGCAATTAAAATATAGACATATATATATATAGATACTACTGAATAAATGCAAACGTAAACTAGCCTAATAGTTTTACTCTATGGTTAATGTAAAAGTAGCATGACTTTCACATCACATGTGCATCTCTGAATGGCTTTCTCCCATGGATCTATAATAATAACTTTCTCCTCACTAAATATAAGACCTAAGTTAGTGTCTGTCGAAATTGGAATTCCTCACATCCCTGCAATAAAGTAGACAGAAGAAACTGCTTTAGTAACATGTTCTGTCATCATGGTCCATGTCCAAGAGACGCACAGTGTATCGTGTACATTCATTTATTTGGATGTTCTTCATGAATAGAGCTGAAGGTTGGTTGTGGGTAAGGGCAAGGGTCGAGGATATACTCAAAACTGTGTTTTCTTCTTCAATAACATGTGCATCAGTGATGCTGTATGTAGCCCTGGCCCTGTGGTTATTCGTAGGTAAGCTGACACAACCAAGAAGATTGAAGTTATTCGTCTCTTCAGCTCAGAAATGGTTGTCAACCTTTGTCTACCGCAGTTCCTCACATCAGTTCAGTGCAACAAGGTATTTATATCACTGATTTGCATTTTGATGTTTTATATCTTTAGCCCTTTTGGTGCCAACTTACTATACAGCTAACTGGTTCCCCCTAAATATTTTCTTTCTTTCATCTCCGATATTGATTTTAGTTGTCCTCGCTCTCTTATACAGTTTCACGCCTCCACCTTTTGTTTGTTTCAAATCAAATTTCTGATAAAGACTCTGGAATCTAAGAGGTTAATGGATATTTCCTGCAACATGAGGTTCTTTGTAGTCCAACTAATGTACACCGTTTAAAGTGAACAAGGCGTAGGCGAAGGTTAGAGATGTGAAAATGACAGGGACCGAGGCTTGTGTGGGAGACTGAATCACACAGCTGACCTTGTCAACTTCTCTTTATTGGTATTTTGTAATCAAATCATAACTATGTACTTTTTCCACATCACAACACTTTCAAACATTTAGATTAACGCATTTTGGGTTCAGTCAGTGTAAAATAAGGAATGGAAGCATTTTTGGCACCAAATTTCTCCAGTGCTGACGTGTTATAATATTTTTCTCTTGTTGTTATGAAGAAATGTGTTTCACCTAATTAACTGTTTATTATCCGGGCTCTGAATGTCGTGAAATGTGTCAATAAAATCATCAGGTTGAATATTTAGGATGTGAAGAACAAAACTTGGACTTGGTTTGGAAAAATGTAAAAAATACTAACACATTTTTAACTTGCATAAATATCTGTATGGAAAATCCCCCCCACATTAAAGAAGTATTTTCTGTGTGATTGTGTTACAGTTGTGTGCAGATGGATATGACGTCACAAACCTTATATCTTCAGACCCTGCCATAAGAAGGCGGGGCTTCAAACTGGAGTACTTCCTATGCCCTCCTCTTCAGGTTAGTCAGCACTGTTATAATTTAAGTGAATTTTCTTATACCAATGACACAGTTAAAACAATATAAGGCCAAACGCATAAATATCAATGAGCTGGAAACCACTCAAATATATATTTGTAAAAGTGAACAATATACAATTATGTTCCTAATTATTTGGACATAAAGAGAGTTGTCTGGCTCTATGTTTCACCACAAATTATTTTAAATTAAGCAACTCTAAACAATAAAAGACATGGTATAACCTCAGAATGTCAACTTTGATTTTATACAAATTGAAGAAATTGGATATGTTTTCTCTTGACCCTTCATTGTTTTAAAGGCTCAAAATATTGCAACAAATAAACAAAAATCCTCATCTTTAACCCCTGAGGTTCACATGTATGTGTGTAAAAGAGCATCCCCTGATTTTTATGTTCACAAGAAATTATCATTGTACATTTGTATGTTTATGTATATATATATGAAGAAAAAAGTTATTCATTATGGTCTTGATGATTTTATTATAGTTATTAACTGAGATGACATGTTTAAAATACTTAATATAGGATTAAGTTCCTCCAAATTATTATTATTATTCCAAATTGCTCTGAATATAAATAAAGGTCTCTTTTGTAATATTTCAGGTGACACTGACATTTGATTTCAAAGTGGATTTATGCAGAGTGGATGTGGAACTGTGGCCCTGGGGCATGGACCGAGGGCAAGCTTGTAAGAAACTTGAAATTAGCACTTGTTCAATATCTCCAACTTCACACGAAATTAATCAGCCAAAAAGTGAATCTCATCCGGGGGTAAAAAACCATAAAGACACTCGCATTCCACAAACCAACGGACGTCTTTGGAGGGACCAGGCTCAGAACTGGACTGGTGCGAGTGAAGCCCAGTCCTCCTCATACCAGTCAAACAGAGACACTTTCAATCATGACTTTAAACTCGTGGGACGTTGCGAGCTGAGAGAGGAAACCAAAGTATGCTTCTCACAAACTCACTTTAGACCCAGACCTCCATTCCAGCGCCCGCCAGCCGTGAACTGTCGTCACGAGGAGCTGTGGAGCAGGGGCGGCATGCAGTCGTTGGCCGCAGTAACACAGCTGCGTGTGGTTCTGCCTTTTGGGGGCGCGGCGTCGGCCCTGGGACTCAAGGCGCTGTCTGTGTGGGGGCAGCCGGCAAGATGTTGTTCTGCAGAAGTGGTGGAGAGGGTTCAAAAAGTTTATGAGGCCCGAGAGAGACCAACGCAAGCACCTGTATCTGTCACGTCTGTTTGCCCGCCCAAGATACAGAAAAGATCGCCCACATGTCAAAGGTGAAATATTATTGTTTTTTGTTTTTTTACCAATTAAGGATTATTAATAGTTATTACATAGAACATCTACTAGGGCTTAGTCTTCGCCAACATACACAACAGTGTAACTAATGGTTTAAGTTAAAGATATTTGTTAGTTTATTTCATACCTACCGAAAACACATTCCCAAATCTTCACACTAATAGACGTTTGAAGAGGGGTTGGTTGAAAACATGTTTTTCCCCGCAATCCCCTCTCACCCGTTCAACACAATAATACACAAAATATAATACATTTGATCAGCATAAAGGATACTGTATGATACTGTGTAGTACATACAGTAATATATAATACCCTATGAAAGGTTAGTGAGGAGATGGTTTTTTCAGTTCATGTCTACTTTGTCTCACCTTTAACCCCACAAATCTTTTTTTATTTAAAGAAGCATTCCTCAGCTGTCCATGGTGACAGGTTCGCGTTTTGCTTGGGTTAATCTAAATGTTGAACACTTTTCCTCAAACTTAACAATCTGTAATTACTAGCTACAAGTTACAAGTGATATCTGTGGAGAGGCATTCTCACTGTAAAAAAAAAGTTTAATAAACACTAAAATCATCCATAATTGAGGAATGTACATGTTTTGAGCGATATTTCAAACAAAGCAATAAGTTATCTGTAGCAGGAAGCAGGTCTCAGATCACACCACAAAAAGTGAGTCACCACCAGGACTCTGAAGAAGGCGCCTTTTTTAACGCCACCTAAAGCCCAATTTAAATTGTAGCATGTCTTTGGCACATGAGCGTAAACACAGGATAATCATTCTACACACATCTCTTGCCAACAACTACATTATGGGAGATGACACACTTGCCTCTCAACAAGGAGGCCTGAGTTCGAATCCCAGTTCTGAGTTTGCATGTTCTCCCTATGTCTGCTTAGGTTTCCTCTGGGTGCTCCGGTTTCTCCTGCCACTAAAAACATGCACAATAGGTTAAATCCTCCAGCTGTGGTCGTCCTGACCAAGCCAAGCAATAACATCTGGAGATTGGTCCCCGGGCACTGTTTCTACAGCGACCACTGCTCCTGATAGTCGCCCAGGTGGCATCAGGATAAATAAAAATGCACCTTTGCCTTTAACCTTTATTATATTTCATGCATTGCTTGATGTAAATTAGGGCTTTCATTGCGTTGCTCTCTTTTACTCCAATGATGGGTACCTCCCTCAAATAACTTGTAAAAATCTTTTTCAGTTTTCAAGTTCCAGAGGAGTTTCTTGACCCCATCACCCAGGAAATTATGATCCTGCCCATGCTGCTGCCTGGTGGCGTGGCAGTGGACCAAAGCACCCTAGAGGAATATCAGAAAAGAGAAGCCACTTGGGGCCGGGCGCCTAACGACCCTTTCACCGGAGTGCCATTCACCGCCTCCTCTAAACCCCTGCCCCATCCCCAGCTCAAGAGCCGCATAGACCACTTTCTCCTGCAGAGGGGAGACCTGTGCAAAGACGGGAGGTTAGGGAGGAAAGACGACAGTAAAAATCCACTTCCCTCAAGACTTGTAGCTGTTGAAAAGGACAAGAGAAGTTCTAACGCTGGAGGGAAAGAGATTCAAAGATTTCATTGTGAACGTGTTGGAAAACAAGACCTAAACAAATCACCAAAACACAAACTAGAAGACCGTGAAGAGGCTCGACCACCTCAAGAAAAAAGACAAAGAAATGAGGGTGAGCACATTCTACAGTTGTCAAACGTGCAAAACACCCTGCTCTAGCTTAAAGCTATGCTCTCAAAACAGTTCTATTGCTAGCAGTGCCGGCGTGGCTAATCGGGAGAGCAGGGAGGTTTCCCGGTGGGCCGGTTGGGCTAAGGGCCGGTGGGCTGGATGTTGTATGTTGCTGGTTGGACTTGGCCGGCGGCCGTGCTTTCCTGACACCGCTGTTCACCGCAGCCTTCTCGGACCTGTCGCTCGCCCGTGCGCACTGCCTCTCTCTCTCTCTCTCTCTCTCTCTCTCTCTCTCTCTCTCACCCACACACACACGCACACACGAGTAAACAGCACACACACTTCTGGCTAGTCTCATTTGGCCGCTTTCATTGGTTACGATGTGTTCTGCAACGGCCTGATTGGTTGTCTGTAGATTGTAGGCGGGATTAAGCGAGAGCGCGGGCCATAGATCAGGTTGAATGACAGATAGAACTGAAGCAAGCACCGTTTCTCACAGACATGACATCTGTCCAACACGAGTGTTTTTAAAATGGAAAGGAACAAAATCAAGGGCGGAGCAGAAAAGATTAGAATAAAAAAAAGGAAAGCTCTTGAAGCTGAAGCAGTCAAATGTGCAAAGTTGGTAGTTTTTTTCTATAAAAAGTGCTCCGCCGATGAAGAGGCATCAGACCGCGGTAAGCTAGCAAAAAAAACATGCAAAACACTGTGGCAAAACATGACGACGTGATTCTCTAAATGATTAGCACTCCATTACATTTATTGCTTCTTGGGTCCTCAGATACAACAATCGTTCATTCATATTAATGAAGAGCCTCAGGAATGGGCAGGTAAAAACCAAAAAGAAGATTGTATTTTTAATCAAATTTGACTAAGCCACTAAGGCCATGAATTTATTTATTTCATAATGTATAATGTATATTGCATAAATTACATTTTTAACTTCTTTGTACATTAGGAAAGTAACAGTTGAATATTTTGTGTGTTTGTCAAAAGATGTGAAGCATTTATGCTCATATCTACAGAAAAGACATCCTTTGTCATTGGATAATGACAATTATCATAAACAAAGTTGCATAAACAAGTGCACTTCTACAGAGTTTACTCATGTTTTAATGTGCTTCATTTTGCTATTGTTTATTTGGGTTTGATTGATTTAAATAGTGTGCAGTTTGTGTTTTCTCGTCTTGATAGAGGTTAACATTTAGTTTGCTTTTAGTTCTCCCCTGGGACAGCATTAAAGTACGTTAAGATTAATTTTGGTTTTGTATAAAGTTGTACCAAGCACCGTTTTGTCTTAGTGTTGTATTTGCATTAGTCTTTGTTTTTGTTTAGTCTTGAAAGGAGGATGATAGTTTAATGGTTTCAAGTCAATTCAATGTATTGTAAAAAAAATATAGCCAAATCTTTGTGAATGACAATTATTTGAATGAAAATTGACATTGTTCTAAAATTTGTGAAATTCATGCTTTTTATATCCACATAAGTCTAGGGTCAGTCTAAAATTTGCTACAATTCATATTGTGATACCAGAATATTCAAATATCATGATTTATTCAAATGCATTATTGAGTTATTTTGTGACTAGCACTGAGAAGTCTAAAGGAGTGAACGAAGAATAATTTTAATACCATTAGTCTTGTAATTTACAAAACTTGATTTTAGGCCACCTGCTGGTTGTTATGGATATTACAACAGCAAGCAGTTCAGTTATTTTTTTGATAGACTACTTTATCAGAAGGGCCGGTCTGACCCAGAATTCCCGGGCCAAAAAATTGTCCCACTCCGGCCCTGATTGCTAGTTTTCCAAAGCATCCTCTACATCAGCTTTTCCAGACAGAAAAGTAAGAACCAAATACTGCATCTTTATTTATTTCATGACAATACACCACACATTACATTTACATTTCCAATAATTGCAGTCCTGTCACACAAATGAAAAGGAGCAGAAAGAAGGAAAAAAATCTTATATTTCCTTCCTCTTTCTAAAACGTACAAATTAAAAGACAATTTCAAGTTTCAAGCATGCAAAATATAAAAAGATGTCATAAAATGGATACAGTTGGTTGTGGTCGGATTGGCTATTGATTTTGTCTGTTCCGTTTCTTGTCTGTCTCTGTCTATGTGTGTCTTGTCTGTATTATGTACGTGCGTGTCTTCTGTCGTCTGACTATCTTGTCTGTCTATGTCTGTCTATGTCTGTCTATGTCTGGTCTGTCGGGTATTCTTTTTTTGTCTATCCTCTTTTGTTTTGATTGATGATTAATGATTTTTGTTGGTTGGTGGTTTTTTGAATTGTCATTGCTATCTGTCAGGCCTTGAAATTATGCAAAGAAAACTAATTCTACAAAGAAAAAGATAACAAGAAGAACTACCTTTGGACAGAACACTCTCTGTGAGGGCCATGAACATCTGGAACAGTCTCCCTCTGCGCGTACGGGAGAGTCCTACACTGGTCACCTTTAAAACTCAAATCCAACAGTGGCTGAAAAGAAACCAGTATTGTGACCACTAGACTCTGTATTGTATTGTATTATGTTGTATTTTAAGGATGAGGATAGCTATAATCTGGATATATATAAATATTTACATTTGCTTTATACTGATGTTCATGAGTGTGCATTGTCCCTATCAAATAAAGATTTTGTTTTTGCAGAGGCAGCGTGCAGCTCCCATGAACAGCGGATGTCAGCCAGTCTGGATGAAGCTCTCTCTTCTGCCCTCCAAGGTCGACCGTCCTTCACATCCAACCTGTGTCTCAACGCACAACTGGACACGAAAACACTACACCAATCACAGCGCAGAATGACTGAAAGCTCACTACATAAAGGTATTAAAGCTGGCATGAACTAAAAATGGAAGGCACATCTTAAGACGGGAGAAAAGCAAAGAAAATAACCTTGTATCAGGACAAAAGCGTTTCCTTGAGTTGAGTTGTGTATGTGAGAAGGATGTGGTTACAGCCTTCATCTCTCCGCCTGTTCTGGGAGGAGTGGCCGGAGTAACATTTCTCCTTTGCAACGTTTTTTAATGACAGTCTGCGGATTCTGTCACCACAGAGACAAAATCTCTGTGCAGGCGAGGAGTGACATGTGTGAAACTGTTGTGGCAAAACACATTGTATATCCAATATCTAGATTCAGGAAAGAATCCAAAATGACAGAATGGAACTAAATTAATCCACTGCAGACATACGGACCTGTTGTTTAACCAGTCATTAAAAGTCATGTTATTCAATCCTTAATGAGATTTTCATGTATTGATGTGAGAAGAATGGAAAAAGATATATATTTACATACACTCACAGAATTTGATTACTTTTGGTGAAATAGAATTAGGTGAAGCCCTTTACTGTCAAGGATGGTTTACCTTCAATAGCCTTTCAAAGATATGTAAAAGGTATGAGCACCGTTGTATATACATGTGGAAATGTTTTTCTCAGTCGCTTTGGTACATTTCTCATGTCATTCTTCACATTTGCACAACAGTTTTTGACTTTCTCAGAACAATTAGTGCAAACTACAAAACCTTGTGGAAAACCTGCAAAAGTGCATCACCTTCTCAAAATAAAAAAGTTCGTTCCTCAAAAGCCTGTGTCATCAAAATAATAAGTCCTGACACCATTGTGGAGGAACAACACAGTCAAATGACTTAGTCATGTTTTCATCGTGACACTTTACTCTCTCTGTGTTTTTCAAAGCAAAAAAGTCAGATCTTGGTGACACTACCTGAAAATGCTCAATACAGCACAACACACGACCAAGTTACACATGACTGTATTTAGTGAGTACAAGACACGTATGTATGTATGTATGTATGTATGCATGCGTGTGGGTGTGTATGTACAGTATGTTTGTATGTATTTGTGTGTGTAAATACAGTCACTTACGTGTGTTTACGTAGAACAAACATACAAAATATCATTATGGTAGAATTGTGACAAATGTAAGCAATAAAACACACACCTCGTCATGAGTGAACCTGAAATTCAGCTGAGAGAAATTGTTCCATTTAGAAGAGATTTTCAGGATAAAAAATGATAAAGGAATATATGAAATTAGCGTGACAGATATTGATTTGGAGAACTAGTTCAACAATGTTGTATGTGATGACCAAAGCGATGAAATGAGGACTATTGGTTTTATAGGGAATGACTATTCAGAAGTGATAAGTATGTTTCATTTTGACTTAACAGGACAGAAGCAAATGATAAAGTTGTAAAACAGCAGAGAATTGTATGAAAGTAACTGATACATGTCCAAAAGCATTTGAAATGTGTTCAAAGGAGAAACTGCTGCGATGATGTGTACAAATGACTCAGTGTTGTGGAGGTTGAACGTTGAACTAATAGTTTTGAGAACTTTAGACTGATGTGAGAAATGCACCAAAGCGACTGAGAAAAGCTGTATAGCTGGGGTATCTGGTTTTTAGATTCAGATTCATTTTATTTGCCATTTGCAGTAAAACCACATTGGAGTACCATTGCAAAGGTCTCCAGTGTGCGCAAGACAAGTGCATGCAAAAACGAGGCAAAAAAGAACAGAAATAAAACAAGCTAAAAAAGTGCAGGAAACAATTGTCACTTAAATCAATCAACAAAAAACAGTTTCAAGTGCTTTTTAGTCAATTGTTATGAGCAAATAGACAATATTGTATCCACATCATTATGAGACCATATCTCATAATGAATCTTTTATTTTACTGCATAATCTTATTGCTTTCATCTTGATTTTCTTTTTCAGATGAGAAGAATTGTTCAGCCTGCTCCAGCTCCATCTCCGTTTACTCCAAGCCTGATTCTCTAATCTACCGACTCGCCTGTGGTCACTTCCTCTGCCGCTCCTGTCTGCAGAGGCCTGCCCCAAACCCAACACGGACTTCCACTTGCAGTAACGTCCTGTGCCCCACCTGCCACAGCTCCACGCCACGCAGCGACATCATACGAGTACATCATTGAATAAACACATTGTATTAAAGCTGGGGTACCTAATTTATTTTATCCATGAACAATTATTTAGAAAGAGTCTTATTAAGTAAAAGAATGAACAAATCAGACTGTCTTCATCTTTGGGTTGAGACATTATTGCCAGTAAGAGTAAGGGAGGTCTTCTCTTTTCCTTGTTTCCTCCTTTCAGTTGGAAAAAACTGATCTAAAATTATTATTTATTTATTTTTTACTGTTTTGAGAAAGAGGAACTAGTCAGATGCATTATATCACGTAATTCAAGTTTTTGTGGATTAAAAGTTATGTACCCCAGCTTTAAATACAGATAACACTGAACATCCCCAATGTTTTTTTTTCTACAACCCATCTTCCAGAAGTTCTTAAAGTATTAATGTCTTGTTTGAAGATATAAAGAATATATTGTCATTGTATATTATCATTACATTGCCAATATTCTAGCTACTTCCATGACACCAAGGTTTTACTGATGGAAGTTGTGGAAACAGGACATAAATACCTGTGTCACATCTTTTGAGCCTTGGTGCCTCAGAAGTCTTGCAGCCGGTTTCCTGTTCACTCTCCACAAAGAACAGTTGGAGGACAGCGCTAAAGTACATAATAAAAGTGGAAATTGGGTTGACCGAGGCTGCGTGTCTTTTGTGCGGGAACAGACAGAAAATATTTAAGCTATTTTTTCATCACGTATTGAGGACATTTACATTGAGGAACAAATCGCCAACATTTTAAAGCTGGGTTCCGTAATTTTCATACCACAAAAGAATAGAACTATGCAATAACATTGATGTAACTAGTTCCTCGCTCGAAAAGGATTGGTTTTATCACTAGTTTTCAGATGCATATATTTCTTGGCTTCTGATCATTTTGACTCATTTTGAAAATTGGTTAAAATGTTGTTTTCCTCTGGTTAAAATTTTCAACATGTTTTGTTTTTAGTGGTAAATATGAAATCATCTGAGGGGGTGAAACTTTATTTGTATTGTATAAAAAAGATAAAAAATGGAACTTGTAAAATAGGATTTGGCCGGTAAACTACTTGGTAAAGGGCTCATTGTAAGACTTTAAAATGTTTTTCTAATAGCATGTTTTAAGTTTTTGCAAATCTATTTCAAGATACTACTGTTGCCAAAAGCCTTCCCAAAAATATACGTCCATATATTATCACATTTCTTCTAGACCTAACAATATAATTTTATTTTTCACCTGAAATGTGATTAGATGTTCCTGTATAACCTCTGTAGTTCGTATCCTGTTTTAATGGACAAAACACCCATTTTTGCCTTTTCATTTATCTATGGACTGGCACATTTCTAATTGGACAGCACCATGGACGGCGGCAGTGCTTTCACTGTGCTCACACCTCCTCCAAAGAACAACCATCGTCTCTTCTCCTTGTCTTTACCAGTTCACACTCGCCTCAGTCTCTTTTTGTCCGCACACCATTTGCCTCAGAGCAGCAGCTATTAGCACTCGCAGATACAAAAAAAGGCCTTTTGTTGGTTTCCCTTGACAACACTGGACTTTAACGAAGGTCATGATCCCACATCCGCCACATGTGAAGCATCTGGTGCCAGAGCCAGATCCGCTGCGGTGTTTCTGTTGCTGTGTCCTTGGGCAAGACACTACGGGTGAGCAGTGCGTTTAAGGTTTTACTGTTAGAATTAGGATCAACTCCTACACGTTTACAAAAGAATGAGACTGATACAACTCAGTCTACACCAACAAAATCTTGTTAATCTAAGTTTCACACAATTCCAAGGTTTAAAAGTCTTTGGCATAACACAATCATGGGACTTTTACCGTATAGTTATTATGATATATGCAGATGTGATGACCAATAATTATAGTGAAGTCAGAGTGTGCGTGCTCAACAAAGCAGACAATCAGATTAAATTATGGCAATTTGAAATCAATTAACTGTTCATAAACAGTTATTAGCTGTTCTGCCTTTTTGACTTGAGTGTTGTTTACGAGCGTTATTGTGAACAGTTATGACAGTCCAAATATGGTCTTGAATACTGAAAAAGGCATCTTGTTCCCTCAGACAGCCTCGGTCTCTTGGGCTTTGTATATTTATTAAATGGTAGCAATAGGATGCAAAGGCATATCTGCTGTGACCTCTTGCACACATGGACGCGCACTGGTGTCCTTCGCGAACTGTGTGTACGGAACACAACACTGACGTCACACACAAGTGTGGACGGCTTTGTTAGTTTTATTCCATCACTTTATAAGTGAGAGATCGAGGCTGAACTCTGAGAGACCAGCAGCAGATTAGCAGCAGAGGACACCAGCAGCAGCAGAGCCGTAGCAGAGATGTCTCACTCCATGCTCCACATCATGTGCGTCCTGGGACTCGTCGCCCTCTCCTCCGCCTGCTACATCCAGAACTGCCCCAGGGGGGGCAAGCGGGCACTGCAGGACCCCAGCCTCAGACAGGTGAGCCATACATACACACAGTGAGTGTTGAGTAACTAAGCTGCAGCATTGTCTGCATTAAACCTCACAAACGTGTTAATCTTACCATGTTCTTAGCATGTAGTCATGCTTTTATTATGATGCAACTTTTTACAATTTTATACTTTTTACTTTTATATTTTTACTCAGGTCTTCACAGAAACTATTATTAAGCCTACTTTAGGAATATTGTTCTTTTCTTAACTAATGCTAGCATCCTTTATTTCAGGAAAATAATTACCCGATACTAACTGTAATTGGGTGATAATGATGTCCATTATATTCATTTATTTGAATTTGTTGTCGATTGGTCGTTTTCAAATCGAATAAATTCAAATCGAGTTAAATTTGAGAAAATCTTTATAGAGACAAGTTACTAATTTTGTTGTTAAATTAAAAATATACTTAATTTTTCTGTTATAATTGGAGTCATAAAACCTCAGCACGTCTTCGCTCATACAGAGTGTTGCCGCGTTAAGCACAAGCGACGCAACTGCTCTGATCCCAGATCCATCGACTGTTTAGACAAGAACCAGCAGCTGGGTTTCAACAAGAAAGAAAGACTCATGTGATGCTAATTCTGTTTTTTATCATTTGTACATCATGCCAATTTAAGTAATTGGAAAAGGCCAACTATGACTGTACATACTGACCTTGTGTTCAGTATTTAAAAAATGATCTTCTGATTTTACTAATTAAGGTTTTTTTTTTGTTTTTTTTTTTCAGAATTCCACACACTAAAAAATGGGACGAGCAAAAATGTATCATAGAAAGATGAAAATTCAAAAAAATTATCCATTATAATGATAAATAAATTGCAAGTGCAGTTGCAATTTGTTTCTCACTCCAGATAGAGATTGTTCTATCTCCTTTTAATACAAGACATTTTTGTCTATTTTGCAAATATTGTTTTACGACAGTTCAATGTTATAAATTCAAATAAAATAAGAATTTAGTACATTTCAATTCTTATTTTGGACTCAAAATAAGTACTCAAATGAGTTTTTAAATAATTGAATCAGTTGATTCCACCCTTTTTTACCTAATATATGTTATTATTTTTGCAGTGAATTGATTAATTGTGACTAAGATATGAACTTAACTGTCTATTCTATGTCATTCTTTTGTCGTCTTCTCACAGTGTATGTCGTGTGGTCCTGGAGAGAGGGGCCGGTGCTTTGGCCCCAGTATCTGCTGTGGGGAGGGCCTGGGCTGTCTGATGGGATCCCCAGAAACGGCTCACTGTGTGGAGGAGAACTACCTGCTGACCCCCTGCCAGTCCGGAGGGAGACCCTGTGGATCAGAGGGGGGCCGCTGTGCTGCGTCAGGACTCTGCTGCGACTACGGTAACTCTCACACTGCTCTTATTAGATTAGTGATACCAGGTACAGTGAAGGCAGCATCACAGTGATTGGTTGATCAGAATCAGAATCATTTTTATTGCCATTGTACGTAACAGGAGGTCACAAAGTAGGAATTTGCTTTGGCTCAAGTTGCAAACAAGTTATAAAAATAAATGGATCAAAGGCATGCATTAAAAATCATAAAATGTCTTAAAATTCCTACTACATCCAAGTAGTAGGAAATAGGAAAAAATAGTGTTTACAAAGCGCTACAAAGACGGCATAAAGCAGTAAAAACAGACAAAAAAGAAATAAAGCAGAAAAAACAGACAGACAACAAGAAAGACAAAACAAAGTTAAAGTGGAACAGTAAAATACAACACATCAAGTGCACACTACGTAAACACAATAGACATTTAACGGTGACAGTGATTGAAGATGCAGTGGTAATGGTAGGATGTGATTTTTATAATTGTATCCAAGATCACTTTGGCACGCACACTATCATCAAACAAGAAAGTTTAAAACTCCCACATGAAATCAACATTTCAACTTCAGTGCACCGCCGTCTGTTTGTTTAAAGGAGACTTTTATGAGCTTTCAACCATATTTCAACTTTGTTCCTTCATCAATCGCATGAATGTGTTTGCAGACGGTAATTTTCCATTTTGAAAAAAATTCATCTTTCATTCCGGTGGCAGCAGAGGCAGTAACTGGTGGAAAGTATTGTGCATTCTTCAGATTTGTTTCAGCGTATATATTATCTACTTAGATATTAGTCAAAGTATAAGTTAAATGGTTAAAAACAATGCATAATATTTTTGACAAACATATTACTTATGAGTGCTTTCAATGCTTTGTTATTCTCTGTCGTGCACACACTTTTGTTTTTTAGTTTAAAGTTATTCATTCTTGAGTAATTTATCATCTCCAGACACTCACGGTCATTTACTCAGTTTGCTTGATGATTTATTTTTTATTACTAATATTTCAAATTATTCAACAAATTGAAACCATTTTGATGGGTGTCTTTACAACTGTAGGAGCTCACGTGGAGCACTGGGGAACGTGCCTTCAGTGCTGTGGCCTTTTGTTTTGCAGAGAGCTGTGTGCTGGACTCGGACTGCCTGGTGGAGACTGACCCGTCAGAAGGGGGCCATAGCTCTCCCACAGAGCTTTTGTTACGCCTGCTGC